GAAAACCTTAACCTTGAGTCAGTTGTGCCACATCGATATATATCTGTGTGAACATCCAATCAATGACTAGACCTCTTCGTCAAAAACTACGTGAAGATACAATAATGTAATGTTTAGAAAAAAAGTAAAGCAACCTGCACTAGATATTTATTCACGACATTTTTTTATTCCACAATCTTAACAGATCTTGGGTTCAAAGTCAAATCACATCATCTCTATAATGAGTAAATGCTTCTCTTTCTTCACTTTGAGTTTTTTGAATTATTCGTCATAGACTACAGGAAACAAGTGTAAAAGTTTTATCAATGAGATTATCAATTGTTTGAAATCTAGGCATACTTTCATTATTATCTTATCAAACAATCTTAACTTTCTTTTATTGAAAACAAATCCATAATTACTAATCAGCAATAGAACGTGGGCTATACACAATATGTGTATGATCCACAACAACTTCATTATCTAAACTATAAGATACAACCAGGCCCTTTTAAATACGGAATTCCATCTCATAGATTCCGTATATGCCATATTTCGTTGCCATGAAGTTCCATATCTCAAGAAACATACACATATTTTTTTTGGAACTAAACTAAATCTAGTAAGTGATAAATTATCACTTCTAGGTCCGCCACACAGTTTAACACACTTAAACAAGTGTTTTGGCAAAAAAGGCGTCTGCAATATGATTTGATTCAATTTTGCTCATTTGCTGCAAAGCGTCCATGAGCCGAAACACCTCTTACAATATGGTGATAATCAATACTCCAAAGTAGTTACTATTAGTGATAGATTTTGTCTATGTTTTGGACGTGAAAGATCCGCTAAACAATCATCAACATCTTGGACATTTCAAAGTACTCCCTTCAGATTAGATAACTACACTCAACATCTTTGCATCTAGATGAGGGATTGTCAAAAGCTCTCACTAGAGGAGAACTTGACATATTTTAATGTTTTTGTCAAACATGCCAAAATTATCTAAGCCACAAGGAGAAGATAAACTATGTTAGTTTCATCATTTTGACTCTTTGTTTATTTCAAAAACTTAGAGTGTTGAAAACACGGAATATTTTTCAAATAGTTTTGAATTATCAAGGTTGTTTGGCAAAATAACGCCATTGATCAAATAGTGAAAACACAAGAAGTTTTTGATAAACTTGCACCACAACTTCGCAATGACTTAAATCGTCTACCATAATAATCTGACTTAAGTGAGGCATAAGTTGACATTCATATATGTCGGATTGGTATGCTGAAAGAAATTTCTTATATGGTACCAGTTTTGGTAATTGCTACTCGTTCTGTCCTCATAGCATAGCATAGTAGAAAACAATACACGGTATTTCGTCTTTTTTTTTCCTCGAAACATTTTTGCAATGAGTAACAAATTGAAAGAAGAAGACTGTTTCATCCATGTTGTAGAAGTAACATGGGTCATACTGATCATTAATAAAACCTAACTCTTCAAGAGCTTTGCTAATTTCAGGATTATTTTTGTTGACTTCTCCGTATTGTCCAAAAAAATTAGTGGAATTCAACCCCTGCAGAAACCTAGCAAATCATCCTGAGAAGCCTTGAATTTCTCCTCTGGTATCTTAAAATCAGAGGCGATAATTTTTACTTTATGATAAATAATATTGGAAGTCAATACAAGTGACATAAGGCAACCAACTCCAGTACACTCGCATAGACTCTTTTCGAGTTCAAAAAATGTCCATGAGATGCACAAAATGTGATTTCATGGATAGTTTGATCTACTTTTTGAGCTCTATCACGGATTTGTCTTTGTTGGATTTCAATTTCCGAATTGTCTTCTCATCCACTCCTAATTGACGGTCAATATTGCATATTGAATGCGGATTTTGCTGTTCTAACAATGCGATTATCTCTGCTCGTTGGGGGTCGTGGAGAAGACCATCCTTGCCTTTATGCTTCACGTTCGTTGCAACCTCATTTCGCTCATAAAACACCGTTCAAAGGTTGACTATTTGGATTTGATCAAAGATTTGAGTTTTGCTCCTACAAATTTTAAGTCCCCATCCTGGTGAAGTTTTTACCTAATTCTCCATATCATAATGCGGACTTAACCCAATGTTTAGTATAATACTAAACATACAGAGAGTAATCTACATAGAGAGGCCTGCTTATACCTCATTAGCCGAGAGAATTACTTATCTATGAAGCAGATTGCTCCGGACATTAAGGTACAAGGAAAACTTGTTCCATGTCGATGTTCCTCTGTTCGATGTGCATATCAGGATGGCCACAAATGTGTTCCACATACTTGACCACTCCAGCAGCGATGACATTCTAGAAGAATGCCAAGGAGTACATTGTCATGATTAGTGACTTTTATCCGAAGGGTGACACCGTTGTTGGTTAATGGCGAGAATAAGCGAGGCAAGCAATAATTAACAGCAAAGTACAGGAAGACACGTGAGTTTAAACAATAATCAAAAGTGAAGCCACGGACTAGAACTGCACAAAATTTTGACAAATATGTAAATCATTCTATTATATATTTAAAGTATAGAGTTCATATGTTATATAAAGGTATATAAATATTTTTCCTATGTTAATAGATATACTATAGGATGTAATATTAATTAACTTAGATATTTTATATTGCCATTTAGTGGGTAACAATGGAAACACATTATAAGAGATAATTTTATAACATTGTTAAATAGTATAACAAGTTTTCATTCATTCATAAACGTAATCAAATCTATATTTATAATTCTGGCAGCAGACTATAAAAATAATTGAACTCTTCATACACTGCAATACTTGGAAAAATTTCACACATCCACTCAAATTTCATTGAGTTTCTCAAAAATAACTAGAGATTACAGTATTTTCATATCTATTCTTCGGGATTAATGTCGTTGTTTTTCTTTGGTATATGACTTTAATGACGGTGTCTCCCCCTAGATGTTCATGGGCCCCTACTAGCGTGATTCACTTGTATTGGACTTTTGATATGTACACGGAAGGTATACGAGATATGTTCACATTGAGAAATGCTTTGACCATGAAGTTATGGTCGAACAGAGGAGCAGTCCCGATCATCGAGTCAAGCTGTCGACAGTTTCGACGATCAATAATATGGATTCACATCACGAAAGATCAGACACCCTGAACATGACAACGTCGAATCTCGAGCTCACCGAAAAATCATGCAGCTCTGGGTTTCAGTGTCTGAAAGTTCCAAAGTTTCCAGCGCCGATAGTGTCGATGTCAGACTCCATATGTGCCTCCAGTCCTGAATAAAACCTGCAACTTGCCCTGGGACGATCTTGTCCAGGCAGCAGGCTCGGGACCACAGAATCACAGTGGCCCGAGGTGGGCCCGAGAGCAATCAAGGGACGTAGGCGAGCATGAAGATACTTCGGATCGATCTTCGATCTTCGATCGAAGTTTTCGTTCTCAGATCGACGACCTTCGGCAGAACGCAGACACGTCTGACGTTCGTTCTTCATCCTCGTAACGTCGCATGGCGTCACGATCTGAGTCGAGGTCAAAATGAACCAAAATCAAGAATTCCGGGAACTGGGATCTAAACTATTCAACGTTAACGTTGTTGCTATTCCTAGAATGGTTGATACTTCATACAATTATATTATTAGCATTCAATCTTCGAACTCTTGTTCATAGTCCGATTCTGTTTTATTTTAATCCACATAATTCTACTTTTGATCGAAACTATCTCAACTTTCTATGTAAAACCATAAATCTATCCTGAGAGTTTCACATGGTATGTTTGCTGCAAATTTAATTTGTTAAATTCTATCGTATCGATAGAGCAATGATATCACTTTTATTTATAAACTATGGATGAAAGATAAAAACGCATTTTGTGGGATTGGAACTTTACACCCCGGAAACGTTCTATTCTATGGTGTAGGGTCCCAATTATCTCCTCAATGCACGCAATGTGCCTTGGACAAATATATTTCAGTAGTGAGATTTCGTTCGTAATCGGCAGAAGGGATGTCAGCGTTGCACAATCAATCAAGAGCATACGAATTGTCCCCCATCGGTTTTCCTCATTGCTGCATGTGGATCATGATTATCTGTGATACAAGTTTCACAATGAGCGTTTGTTTGGACAAGTTACAAAATAAGTGGAGAGGTAGGGCCCAAAGGCTCACAAGAAAATTACATTTACTCCTTCAAATATATTTTCATGACACTACTGTTTTGAGATTCAATGTCCCCTCTGACCTGACTCAGCAAATTATGCAGAATTTGTTTTTTTTGTTTTGGCAATCTGTATGTAGCGAAGGTTTTGCCTTGAATCCCTTCTCACACGTCATTGCTAAGGAAAGAGGCATACATTGCACCTAGCGTTAGTAATGTACGATGAGAAATTCAAGTTCGAAGTTACGTGACTCTAATTGAATATAATATACTGTACTTTTTCACTTCAACCTTGGTTGTGAAAATCTCAATTTCGCTTAATGCCGCGTCATGTCAATATAATGTGTGAAATTGCATTAACATTGAATATATCTACATTTGTCACTTTACCGACCAACTTTGCCTAGAACACATACTAATGATTATAATTTATACACCCAGTCACATTACTATGTGGATAATGTGTAATGGACGATCAGACGCTGAATCATTTCTTGGCTGTGATCCCTTGCAACGCTATCTTCAGGTGGACATTGTGTCACTCATCGCTATAAGAGCGCTCCTTGATCGAGGTCTCCTTTTCATGTATAAAATTCTGGTGGTGATGATGATTGCAAGCTTGCACAAGTTCCAAATCTATGTACTTGAGAAGGAGGAAAAGGGAAAAGGGAACGAGAAAATTTGGGTGAAAACTGGTGGCGAGGGTGAACCATGATGACCTCAGCTTGCACCTTGCATTTCCAGCGCATGTTATGCTGACGTGCCAATTGCGAATCCGACGTGGCGCCAAATCACCTCTCGTGGGGTTTTGCACAGAAGGACTAGGGTTTAAGAAATTGGCATCCTCGCTCGTGCCGATTTCGGATTTCGGATGCAGGTTTTGAGAATCCGGAATTTTCGAGCGATGCGTGACAGTTCCGGCCTCACGATGTCGAGTCGAGCACATTTTCGAAGCCGGGCGGATTGGGAGTAAAATTTGGAGGCTCATTGGTTGAGAGTGGAGTTATTGCGAGCTCTTGTTGTAAAACCTGGAATTGAGTTAAGATTTAAGTTATGGAGAATGTGAAGTTGAAAACAGCCGAAATGGCTGCAATTGAGGGCTCCGGGAAGGGCATGAGAGCTCCTCTGCAAAGGAAAATACGACGTCAGGCTGCGCAGATTTTGAAGAAGGTGCTAACCGGTGACGAGCAAAGAAAGTCGCAGGCTTCGATAAAAACACTCATCTACGCGCCTAATATTGTGGCCAAGAAGGCCACTCTAGCTCTCACCTGCCGATGTCTTAAATGTGAGCTCTTCAGACTTCACTATTATCGTTTGAGCGCGAATTTATCGCCCAATGTCCCCCACTTTGCGCGCTTTTTTTGCGTTCTCTGTACCTTTGGATCATTTTTTCATCCCTTGCGACAAATTTCGACATACATTTGAATGGCCGGGCGGCGAAATCTGTCAAGCCCTTTCACGCAATTGTTGTTGGCGTCCTTCGCCGTATCATACCTTGAGATTGCACGGGTTCATTACGGACACCTCTGAATTGTGTGTTCGAGCTTTAATCACTTCTGACGAAAATGAATTCAGTGGATCAGTGCAAGTTTTGTTTGGTTACCGTTTTGTGCTGGTTGAATGCATGACAGACCTTGCAGTAATTAAGGACATCGTTGCTGGTACCGACTTGTTAGCCAAGAAGAACAAGGTAAATGTCCAGCCCTTTGTTCTTATATGTGCGATTTCCAGAAGGCACTCGTCAGTCCTCGATTTGCAATGTAATCGCTCTTCACTTCGCTCAACACTATCATCATAGCTTACACTTCTTGAGTAGGTTCAGGCTTGTGAATTTCATAATGAGTTGTAACTTCAAACTCCAAGTCTGTATAAGTCTGTGGCGGATCATAATGCAGGCTGAGAACTTCTGTCTCAATCCGTTGTGGTATTCGATTCGGAATCCTGAACATCGTGTCTTTATCATCTCAGCTCCCTGCCGAACTCGTCTACGTCCTCACTTGCGACATGCTATTTGGACAGGTTCAAATACACCTTCTATAACCTTCTCGTCAGCTTAAATTCTTTTGGCCGGGGCTCAGGGATCCACCTTAGCAAGTCGATAACAGAGTTTCGAGCAGAGGGCTAATTTTTGGATCCATCGAAGTTTTTTCATGCCTGGATGACGAGCAAATCCTAAATCGTTCTGTTCCTGCTTTGAAGTGTATTCGGTGACCTGCAATTTTACTAGTTTTTCTGTGTCAAAAGAAGAGGAACAGGACCGAGGGACTTGAAGATGTACGATAGCAAGATATTGATTGACTTGTGTTCTGTGCGTAGGAGCTCTTGTCATCTGGTGATGCGGAAAATGTTGTGCTTTCGCGAAAAAGTGCTCTGCAATCTGCATTGGTACGGCTCCTTGTGAAAAAGAATGTCACCTCTGTTGAGGAATTGGTAGCAACTCAAGGTCTAGGTATGCCTCGAAAGTGATAAACCTCATCTGGCACACCTCCCGTTCAATAATTCATTTACTTATCTCCTTACTGTTCTTGAAGTTGCTACTTATGCTCCTTCTGTCTGCAGAAATGTCTATACCGAGATATGTGAGAGTAAATACTCTGAAAATCCCTCGTTGGGAAGGGATCAAAAGCCTCCAGGAAATCGCAGATTCTGTAAGGAACAATCACTTACATAATTGGTTTGCTCCACCCCTATTTAAGCTGTATCTCCTATGCTAGCCTCTGAACAATTCCAAGTTAAGCGGAGAAGCTTTGGTAGCAATTATTTGATCGTTCTAAACTGAGTGTTTGAGAAGTCATCCGATGAAGCCATCCCATAGGAAGGAGCGGCTGTTTAGGAACGCGTAAAGTATTGAATTTATTCACGCTCAAGTCAAAGAGATAATTCTGGAAAATTCAAACCAGCATGTTCTCGTGACAGGTGAAGGAAGATGATCTCATACCAGACCTTCTCATACTGCCAGCAGGAACTGATCTTCATAAGCACCCCTTTGTTCTGGATGGATCACTCCTATTACAGGTTGGTACACCAAGTTTTTTTTTATAATTTAATCTTAAAACTTTGTCGTAAATATGAACTGTAATCAGTAGTAGGTTCATACTTTATTTTTGATTAATGTGAGAGCAGCACGGATTTGCAACTAGTTCCAAGTCCAAAGTGAGAATCAGGCGCTCAAAGGAACTGCTAAAAGTACACATTCTTAATAAAATTTGTCTTAGAAAGATGTGGTAATGAAGCGCTTCATCTGACTGAGAGATCCTTGAGTTTGGCAGGGAAAAGCTAGTTGCATGCCTGCACCTGTGCTGGCACCGAAGCCTGGTTGGGAGGTAAGCCTTAGGAAACATGTAGTGTGATTGGCTCGCTTATCAGTTTCAACAACTGTAGAAGACCACAATGATGCTCACTGTAAAGTCCTTGTCTTGCTCCTTGCTGCCACGCCTTTTTTACATGAAGTTTCTTCATTGTTCTTTTGTGCTCTTGGCTTGTGAATTTAAAAATCTTCTGATTGTCAAGCAGGTGATTGACGCATGTGCAGCACCGGGCAATAAAACCGTGCATCTGGCAGCCCTGATGAAAGGAAAGGGACGAATACACGCTTGTGAAGTTGACTCAAAAAGAGTTCTGAGACTTAGAGACACTGTTTCACGTGCCGGTGCTTCCAGTATCCAACGAGTCCGTACTGAGTACTTTCTTCACTGACATCCATACGGTTATGGTGCCAATATGCAACTCTAACAGTCGCTGCGAACCAGGATGAAGTGTGGATTGAGAAGGTTTACACTGATGCAACTCGTAATTGTAGTGTTCATGCCTTTCCCCACGACACTCATTATGGTATTTGCGAGACGTCCCCTTCAATCCTGAGAATCTATATAGCTGGTTGTAATTCTACAACCGAGTTGTAGTATGTCATATCTCCAATTTGATTTCACATCCATGTTTCTTGTCAATGTTCCGACCCTTGATTAGAACCTTGACATAGTTTTTAGATGTGGAGGTTCATCATGGAGATTTCTTGAAGATTGATCCAAGCAAATCACCATTTTCGAAGGTACGAAAATCAACTTGTTTTAAGCAGAATAATCTACTTGAGCTTCTGCCATGTTTTAATCTCAAAGGAAGTTCTTTCGCTTAGCTCGCGATGTGCTGTTTTCTTGTTGAATCAAAATTGAGTGTAGAATCTTTGCTCGATGATCTCGCGGGTCTGAGCGTTGATCTTGCACGTTGTCGGGCACAAGATTGAGACTTGAAGTTGTGTTTGGTGCAGGTGCAAGGGATACTCTTAGATCCATCATGTTCTGGATCAGGAACAGTAGTACAACGATTAGATCACCTTCTTCCTTCATCTACAGCGGGTGCCTAATTCAACTCAATATACTTTTGTCTTTTGGATTCTATGTTTCGTAAATTTTCTTGTCAGCTTCACAAATTACCGATACCCTTATCCTGCGTGATGTGACTAAAACGATGTAAACGACGTCGATGACTGACAACAGTTCTCTCCAGGGACTGAAAAACAAGATGCAGAAATACATCGGGTGGAGCAGCTTGCACAATTCCAAGAACGTGCTCTTTTACATGCTTTATCATGTAAGTGAGTATCTTTGCAAGTGTCTGAAGCGTGGAATCTCTGAAGCATGCGAGTTATTTGTTCATTAGGGTGGCTTTCCCCTGATATTGTCTTATCTTGCAACGTGAGTCGTTTTTGGTCTTCCTCTCCTTCATTTCCGTGTGGAATGATCAATATCATGATTGTTTTCACTGGTTTGTGCCTGTCATAGCCTGAATACCATAGATTTCAGGGTAGGATGATTTTATCGTTGGCTTAGCAGTCCACAGTTGAAAATGTGGGTAGAGTGAATCCAGGAGAATCACGTGATAGTGAAATATGGGCCTCTCTAATCATGGGAATCGAAAAGTAACTTGGAGCAGAAAATGTAGTATCTGAAGCACCTCACAGTTTTGGCATGAGTGCTCTGTATTTTGACAGTTCCCGCGGTTGAAAGAGTGGTGTACAGTACCTGCTCCCTACATCAACGTGAGAATGAAGATGTTGTGAAGTCTGTACTTTCTCAAGCAAGAGGATTCAGACTAGCAACAGCTCTGCCAAAGTGGCCCCATCGCGGTCTTCCCGTTTTTCCTGGAGGTAAATGACGACTACACTTTAAATATGTGGAGACGCAGACTTACTCACGCTCAATTCTGCTTGTATGCTGGAAACTTTTGAATTTGCGCTGATTTGCGTGCTGGATGGGCTTGGAAAGGAAAGAAGATAACTTTCTCGCATGAATATCTGGGAGATCTAATCATTCATAATACATTTGAATAACTACTCACACCATAATTTCGAGCCTTTGTTCTGCAGCTAACCACCTAGTGCGCACAGAGCCATCGAGGGATCATATGGATGGATTCTTCGTAGCCCTCTTTGTCCGGAAAGAGGATGGTGATTCTGATGACGAGTTAACAATAGTACCAGTCCAAGATATACCAAGTAATGAGGAATCGAAAGCTTCAAACTCATCGCCCCAAAGTGTTAAACCTGAATCCGTCGAAAACCACGAGGCAGGGAAGTTATCTAAGCTCAGGAGGAGAAAGCTGAAGCGCCAACGAAAGAAGGAACAAGCGGCGGCTGCGGGTAGCTGTCTCTATCTGTTACCTTGACTTTGGTTCGTTTAAGTGGGGTGATGTTGATTAGCTGAACTGCTACTGACGCATCTTCAGGATGCTTGGCACACCTCAGCGTTCTTACTATTCCTGACTTACCTTGTTGTACAGGTCCAGCTAAAGAGGCATCTTCGTAAGAAAGGTGGTTGGTCAGAGTTGCCTTCCACCCATTCGTACGAGTCTTGAAAGCGAATCAGCTAATCTCAAGGTGGTGCTTCGAGGAGTGTATAATAGTCGATTTTGGTAGAGTGTGGCATATCAGACCACTGAGTTCCAATTGCTTTTACACGCAATGGATGTTTGGTGGTTGTAATCTTTGGTGTGGACCAAATTGAACCGTCTGCACGCCATTTTTGTCATTAAAGTATATAGAAGTGTAAGGAAGCTGAGCCAAACCGCAATGTTCCTCATCGGAGACGAACGTCCTAGACGGGGTGAGGTCTCCTGTCTTCATGACCAGAACTTTTCGGTACAAGCCAAGGATTGGCCTGGACAATACACAAACTTGCCACGGCCTTGTTTCATGGCCTGGGATGGTAGTCCTACTTTGGCACCACGTTTTCGGAAAGGATGAGTATGTATTCACTAACAGTCGATGTCGTGAGGGTATGGAGAATCAGGGGTTAAATTTACATCAACCAAAGGATGGGAAGGCATCATCCGTTAACTGAAGAAACAGAAACCACTGCTAGACCCCAAAACAGTATAAAAAATAGGTTATCAACATTTCACAAAGAAAAGTACTTTATACATTACCAAGATATTAATTTGTCATCAAAAACTAAAGCCAAACCTTTTAAATCAGGATCAAGCGTTCTAAAAACGTTTACTATTTCAAAACTCTGTTAATAGTGAAAAATAGAAAGTTGTATTCGATTGTTTGACGACTTTTATTTTTAAGAAAGTTTTTATCCATTTTACTCAAAACCTCCCCCAACAAAATGGATTAAGACATCAACATGTCATGTACAACATAACGTGATCATTCTAGCAGAAATATCTTTTCGACAGATCATACAATGTACTAATCCTACATTGAAAAAATTAAATGAGAGTAAATAAAAAATAGCTAATATAGAGGAGATAGAGAACAGTTAAAAAAGTTTCCAACAAGCAAACTTATAAAAGGCCATGGGCATGAACGAAAGTGATAAAAACGTGCTGTGCTCATGTGGTTTGATCCGACACACCAAATCACCATCGAAGTTTCGACCAGGTGTGGACAAAAGGTGTATTTATACAAATGTTAACTTGCAGCTCTAGAGAGATTCTGCATTAGTCGATAACCTCCGTATTGCGAATATTCCAAAATTTCCAGTTTATACCGTGATACGAGGTGTTACACCGTTAATTTATGACATAAATTGGTCTTCCGTCCACGACATGTGGTGCTGAGATTGAACATTAGACCACTTTTAGCCAGCACGGAATCGATACACGTGATCATCGAGCATCTGCTTAGGAAACGACACATGCAAAGACTGACAAGCAACACGATTCGGCTTTACTCGTCGCACCCATCCTCCAAAATCCGGATACGTACAAGCTTATCCTGAATCGAGGGCGATTATCACTCCGGCATACTCTGCCGCTGAAATCATGTATGAATATACAAAAGCTACGACTGAACCGAGGGCAGTCAATTTCAACCTGCCCTGGCAGGAAAAGGACTTCCTGCCGTAACCAGAATGACGCTCGCCTTCTCGGTATGAATACTCAACGTTATCATGTGATTTGCAGCAAGAAACAACGAGGCGAGACCGCCTGATTGACAATCTATCAACTCAAGTGGCGAAAATGTGAGTGCGGCGACCGACATTGACTCACGTACGTGATCTACCTCCAGAGCAGGGATTTCGCCAGATAATGGTTTCTGATGTTGCTGTAGTCTCGTTCATCTGTAGACCCTGACTTCTTCCTCTCCAAATGTTGAGTTTCGAGACGGTGTTTTCTTCCAAATTCAAGTTAATTTACAACCGCACTTGCGCATGGCTATGCGCTAGAGAAATGACTGACTGAAGGTGGCAGGCAGCAGCAGCAGTTGTCCGGCAATGGGATTGGAGTCAAACTTAGCTAGCATGCGTCGCCTACGAGTAGAAGCGAGCGAGCAGCAATGTTTTTGGTGGACTTGAAGTCAAACTTGGGGAGAAATTTTGACAGAATGAGTTCTGAGCTACGGGCAACTGTACATGGTACGATGGAGAGAAGGCCAGGTCAAGCAGAATCATGCGTGGACGTGATCTGTTCGTGTTCGACACACGAGGTATTCTCGCGGCATCTTCTACTTTACAGCGTGGGCGATTATCAGACAACGTTTCAGAATCTAAGCGCTTTGTGTATTGTGCGATCTACCTGCGCATCAGACATTCAGAAACCTTCTCGTTAGAACGTCAGCTAACCGTGGACACATATCTCGCCCTTCAAAAGTCAGCTCCAGCGAGAACTTCGAATTCGTCAGAGTTTGTGGAGTTCAGTGAACTTCTGCACCGACTCGAGCTCACGAGCCTACCGCTGGGCAAACAATTCAAACCAATCCGAGAGAACACACACGCGCCTCTCAAGGCGGAGCCTCCAAGCACTGAAATATAATCTCGCATAGAACGTACTAATCTCAACTTACTGACAACAGCACGGCCTGGAGAAACTCAGAGCGGGTACCTTGCAACATGTTATCTCAGACTGCTGTCACTCCTGGTGAATTTCTTGCCTGGAAAGGCAAAAGTGACTTCATATCATTGGACCACTCTTTCAGGAGGAGTAAAACTGAACCTTGCTCTCTACCCTACGATACAATTCTCGCTCCATGAAAAGAAAACTGCGATGTGTCTGTCTAGCAAGAGGATATGGAGCCCAACCATGCAAATGCATTCAAGACTCAGAAGTCGGATGTACTTGTGAGTCCATCGATAATTTCTTGCGTCACGCAACTAGCTAATACTGTACATCTGGAAGAAATTTACACTTGACCGATGGAACTTACATCCCGTACGGCATGAGCACGTTTTACAAGCACATGCTTCCAGAAAATTTCATGGTTCTACAGTCTGAACGTGCAGCAGTAAGTAGCTCCATCCACTACCCAGAATATATCTCATCAACGTTACAAGGTCACGCAACTTACCCCTACTTTATCTTATGAAGACGAAGGAAATAAGCAAATGATACAAATTACAACCCCTTGCGTGCGACTACGTCAGACTTCACTGCAAGCGATCCTAGTCTAGCTTTTTATGTGCTTTGATAGGAAGAGGTTTACCGGCCAGAGCTGCGTGATAAACACGTTTCTCAAAGAGCCCTACATCTGATAAAGGTAGGTCCCCCTGCAGGATGACACAAGCCCAGCAATAACATGAGAAGAAAAACTTCCATCGTTCTACCGAACTCATGCACAACAAAGGTATATAGAGCCAAAATTTCCATACAAGCAAAGAAAGTGGGTTAAAATGTTAAGAACATGGGTACAATGTGAAATCCAAAGAATAGACCTCGTTCTCACCTCAGTTGACATCAAGAGGCGGACATTGTTTGCGTAAAGCTTCGGATCTGAACACTCTTTCGCGGTCGGGTAATACACGGGTAACCTTACAACCTCCAGAACATTTACGAATTGACATAGAAGCAAAAGAACGTGTCGGACCTGAGTCAACAGATATTGATGAGCACAATATGAGCCATTCTTGTTAGCAGATGTTTCTGCTGAGGTCAATGAAAGTTGACAACATTTTATGCGAGTCTTATGTTACAATGTAAACCACTGCTGACATTCATATATGTCGTGCTCGCAATGCTAATCAACTTCTCCAGGGTCCTCACCCCTGTTATTGACTCCCATGCGGGGCTAAACCTCTTGAAATGGTATTTCAAGATCACAGGCAAAACCGGAGTCTCAGCCAAGAAAGCACCCGTCTTGAATGGCAGCAAATAATCTCCATTTGAGGTCGTTCCTTCTGCAAATACGATTCGATCTCAAAGTTAAGGCAAGGACTTTTTCTTCTTCCATCAGCCTACCAGTCGCGTATAATACAACTGCTTGAATGTCATTGTATTGAAAGCATCACTCGAACTCTCCAACGATCGGGTTTTACCAGGAAATAGGAGCAACATAGGGGCAGCCGGATTCTCGTGTGCAGCTCGGGTGCGTTCTATGACGATGCCTGATCACAAGAACCAAGATTAGACTCCAAACGAGCAACCAAGCAACCTCAACACGGCAATGACGGACTGGTGGACGGATCATGTGATCAAAGCTACTGTGACCTACAAGCACCTGCATTAAATATACTGCATCCTGTCTTCATTCACTGAGCTGATATACCTTCATGATTGATTTCAAAATTATAACTCTAATGTTTGAACAATGAAGTTCTTGCCATCGTCTCAGGTAAGACAAGTTCTCTGGAAAAATACCTGATACCCCTTTGAAGTTGGTGGACTTGGATTCCCGCTGGACATATATACATCCCATGCACTTGCTGTAAAGAACAGTCGATGGTTGTTGGGTTTTAGAAACATGGTTATTCCTTACAACGCTCTTCGAACTAATTTTGCGATGAATTTTAGGTCCATCTATACTCAATCTATTTGGCTCTAGAGAGGTCAGATTCACTACAATTCTAATTAAAATTTGATGAAAGGTCCTCAGGTCCCACCTTATCAAGCCGACCAAGGGCAACTTGGCCACTGATCTCTTTCAGAGTCAAAACAGATCCGGCACAAAAACACAGGCGGTTAGAAGCGGACGGAAAGTAAGGGAAAGTTCCCAACAGCCAAGCGAAATATTTGCTCGCAATCATAAAGATGCAGGCGTCACTCCATTCACAGGTTTATGTTTCATAACAGAATGGAAACCTGGTACACAGACCATGAGAAAACGGCGAAGAGCACCGCTCACCTTTGCGACAAAACTGGGGAAAGACGACGACATGTGATAAAGAATGTCGAGGTATGAGATGTGGTTGGACACAATGGCACCGGGATATCTTTTCGAAGTCTCCAACAAACCCTCGTTATCCTGTACAACAAAAAAAGCAATCCCATCAATACCTTCCACCTTATTACCATCGGTTACATAACATGTACATGAAAACTGCAAACATTTACAGCCCCTACGTCCACAAATCTGTTAACGCGTGATGAGTGCCGCGTCCTACCTTCTGATCTTCGTCAGAGACGCCTTCCTCTTATTTCTAAGCGCCTAAATTGATGACAAAAAGTTGACCGAACTGCAAACTTGCAACACTAATTTCTGTCTATTCGAGATCGACCGTCTGCTTGACATGTTTCATATTTCAAGATAATTATGGCAAGTTAATGAGAGCATCCATACTTCGTTCGCTCGCTCTCCTACACCAAGGTCGAGCTGTTGCATCACGTCGGGAGTCCGGTGGGTGACTTTGATGTGGTAGAAACCTACAACAAACAGCAACGACCTCGAGAGAAACTTCCCGGCGTACACTATGACACTACGCCTGAGTCCGATAAGATGGCTGTAATTCTCCTGCCCTTCTTCTTCACCAGGGAGACGAGAAATGGTGCAGATCTTGCATATGAAGTAATATGTCACGAGAATAAAAAATATGAGAATCATCCGGATGGGTGCGATTGTAACCATGGCTACTCCGAGCAAAACTTTCTCCCCAACTGATATTTCAGCCGCGCCAAAATTGCCGTAACTATCGTGTCTAACATAGGGTGCGCATTTGACCTCCATTTCTCTCGTGAACTCTGGAGTGACCTCATCTTCTCGAACGGAATTCAAGGAACTGCTCTCTTTAACGTTTGAAGCTGCGCAAATTTCATTCGAAGAATTATTGCTTTTGTTTCCCAGCAATGGCTTGTCGTCCTCCTCGAGTTTCACGACCCGGGGAGAATCTCCGTTTCTCTGCGCTGCGGATTCATTCTCCGCTGATACACGCGGAATACCATGCCCTTCGTCTCTCGCCTGCTGTAAAAACACCTCCCTCTGAAGATCATCTGCCCTTGACTTGGTGGATAAAAGCGGGGCATCGGGGTTCTCTCTTTCCAGAGAATCGCTCGCTGCAAGTTGATCTCCCTGCTCCACTTGCTTCCCTTGTTGGCCTGCTAATTCTACCTCCAACTTGAGGGGATTGCCCATGTTGCTAAGCCGCAGACTCGGAATGACAGCACATCCAACCTACCTGTCTGCCTCCCTGCCTGTTCAATCCTGGTGAAGTAGTCCCCCAGCCATCCAAAATTCGACGGAGAAGTAGAAATCCTTATCTCGCCCTCGCTTTCAAATAAAGCTCAGCTAAATCCCCCCTACAACAAATCCGCCGAGGATTGCCCTCTCCTCCATCCACAGGTCTTCAAGCCAAGCGCCCACGATATTCATTCACAACGACACGACATAATTTGGAGATCGAATGCGCCCTTTCGGCAAACAACAACCGTTGTCTTAAAACCTGCGTGGACATTCAAATCCTTCCTGCGATATCAGATTCCGATGACCTCGAAGGGCTCGTCTTTGGTTGGAAACCAGGTTTCTCAGACATAAACAGGAGATCGTAATTCACTGCCGTCTCCATCAAATTTTCCTAAAGCCCCTCCGAAGAATCGCCCCCGACCTCCGGCCCAAACAATCAAAACAAAGCAAATCTCGTCGGCCTCCTCCTCGACCTCGCCAGTCACAGATGTGGATCACAAGGCAAGCCACTCCAGCCGAACGATTTCTCGCCTCGAGAAGCGAAAAAAAACCTCAAGAAACACCCTCCTTCACTAGGCGACAGAAGGAATGCGAGGATGGCGGCCCAGCATTCATTACACCCTGGCGACCACCTTCTCCGACCTTCGGGCCAGCGCAAGCTCTACCCCGCACCTGACCCCTCCTGCCTCCCCTCCCAAGATCCACGACGGATCCTCCTCCTCCGTGATCGCGAGCGTGCCGCCGATTGACGAAGTTCGGTGGCCCAAGAAGAAGCGATGTCAAGAGCCCGAGCGAATTCAAACCCGACCCCGCCCACTCCAAGCCCGGTGATCGGCCCAATCGACCGTCCGACCGCCCGCCCTCCCCGATCGATCTCGAGAGAAGCAGAAGAAGCAGATGAAGCACAAGCAGAAGAAGAAGATCAAGATCAAGAACGGGAAGAATGACGATGACGACGAGTCACCGCCTGCCACAAACGAACGACAAATCGAATAATTCCCTTCTTCGAAAGCCTTCCACGGAACGAACGAACGAATGTGTCTCGTGAAGCCTTTCCTTCCTTCCTTCCTCTCCCCGGGCCCGGCTCCCGTGCAGATGTCCTCGCGCCCGCGGCACCCGCGCCTCGCGGGCCCCACACGGCCCCCCCCCCCCCCCCCACCCCCCTGCCCGCTGGTGACGACACGACAGGGCACTTCCTCTCGCTAATCTTGACTCGAACCTCATCGGCACTTTACAGTACAGCACGTCGGCATGCAGGGCGTGAGTGAGTAAGAGCTGAGAGCTGAGACGGCCAAGGACTTTACCTTACTTAACTTTACTTAACTTTATTAAACTTGACTTTACAAGGTTTTCTTCTTCACTCCCTCGCTGCCCTTCTTGTCCTCATCTTTATTTTCCCTCCATTCTTTACTGTAACGATACGCCGAACTCTACTGAAACAAGTCAGACGCGAAGGTTAAGTCAAGGATGTGGATTGGCCTCGGACTTGCCTGTTATCCGAGACCTCGAACACCAAGGCGATGTCTCCCTTCCTTGACTTGGCTTCCACCGCATGCTCTCACCAAAATCAGCGAGAGGAGGAGCCTAAGTCCACTTGAAATTAAAGTCGAAGAATTTCCATTTCATCTCGTGACATAGGGCGGCCTAAATTGCCCTTGCATCCGACGGTGCGGTGGGGTCGGTGGGATCGGATCTTACGGTGGCCAGAGCTGCTTTACTCCGACGTGACGTCGGAGGTGATCGTTATTAGAGATAGGATAAACTCGGTTACGGTGACGCCGAGTCCGAGTTGCCGAGATTAGACGCAACCGGACAGTTCAACGCAGTAGACCACAGTTCCTTGCCGTGGTCGTTGTGGACGCTCTGTGATTTATTGTGTATATGGGTGCAATCTTCCCCGTATTAAAAGGGTGGTCTTTGAAAATATGTATGATCAGTCACCGGGCAGATTGTAAATGTCTGGAGCTCTATCATGTCATGTGTATTGCATGCCATTGCTATTAATTATGATGAGAAATATGCGAAATTTACCTGGTTTGATTGAGAGACGTGACGATGAGGTCAACATCTTGAAGAATAATTATAGCCTGAGATGAAGATTATGTATGTTTCGGAGAGAGTCGGAGGAGTGCAGAAGGGAATGAAGAGAGGAGAAGAAGGAAACGGTGACTTATGGTCCGGTGGGGATGATTGTATTCATCCTCTGCGAACATGCAGCCACCGAAGTTGAAGACCCTTCAGGTCATGTACTTGGATTCCACGCAGAGCGGCAAGTGATGATTGCGTGACTGGCTTGCGGTGGTAGCATTGGTCGAGGTTTCATCGACGTTAATTTCCCGTGGAGCTTTTCTGAATCTGGGCCAGTTTTATGGAAAGATACTGACTCTAATTGAGTGGCTGTGGTGGTGGTCCACGGGTTTATTATGGGGTGGGGTGTCCGGTCCCACCTTGAATGTTCACAGGACCGACTCGTCTGTTGTGTGCGAGTATATCCACGATGGGGATACTGTATGGTGTACATTGGATATGACGCAAGGTCCAGTTGATGTGGGATATCTGCACACTTCCCACAATGCCCGGTCCTCCTGGCTCCTTCGTGAACTGCATTCCAAAAAATTTCTTCTCAGAATCGAGTTCCTTCACGATCCATATCTTCAACAGTTCCATGCCTAATTCTGATGTTTTCGGTAATCTGGACGAGACGACAAGGTGGGTGCTTAATTTATGTAATGCACCCAGTAAATAGTTAGCCATGTCGAGATATAGTTGCCAGGATAACCTGTGGTGTTTACGGGAAGGCGTCCAAGGTCCAGTAAAAGACTTCCAACAGGTATCATCTTCCTTTCAAGAAACTCGCTTCACTGTGCTGTTGAGGTTGTTCTCAAATGGAATGATCTATTTTTCATACGTACATTTATAATACCATATACATTGCGGAGGATTAGCTCGCTGACAACTGACATACTCAGAGCCGAGTAAGCTGTCAAAGATTCTTAAATATTCACTACGTTGGCGTAGTACCACTGGTCTGGGTGGTCTTAAGTTGGCAATTGAGATCATCCACAGTATCTCATGGCCGTAAACTGTGGTCGTCGTCAATGCAGAGGAAGCGGTATCCGCTATGGGTCGTGTCGTCGAGGGATTGCGTCACATGTTTACCGTTCTATTCACCGTGCTATTAATTGGCGTGGATGAAGTGGAGCACACAGAGCGAATCAAACTGCCAGGAGGACTGGAAGTACTCACAATTATGTCCGGAGACTCTAGAACAACGCCTCATTCAATAACATATACGTGAGTTTGGAAATCTACTCCCTTGCCGCTGATACCCAAAAAGGTCGAGACAATGATAAGAACGGACAAGACGTTCTCCACCAACGCTTATTACATCCGGAGGAACGTAATGTAGAACAATGTAGACAATCCATTAAATTATCGATTCTCTCCGCTGAAACAGCATTGCTTCTTCGTGAGCCCAGCTTAAAATGCAGCCATTGAACTCAGTACCGCCTTCAGGGGCTTACAGACACATCGTACAAGAAAACCGTAGCTACACACCCAGAAACTACTTCGGCATTCAACGGTATATGGTGGTAACGAAAACCTTCTCTTTACAAGTTCCTTGCTGAAGCTGAGGTGAAGGAAGTGAATCATAAGCAGTGGGTAATTCAAAGACATCCTCTATCTTATTTGGGGAAAAAGTTTCACGATATGACAACCAAGGAAACTGCGCTCGAACATGTAAGCCTTTTCAATAAGATAATGCTGCGAAAACTTCAACCTGGCTCAGTGAGCTTCAATCATGGATGGTGATACTAAAAGAAGATGCCAAGAAGCCTTATTCAGCTAGGGGCAAAACAACCGCCTTCGCGGTACTGATAACATGAGTTGGAAGCCTGCTAACCGGCAGACTTGCACAGGTGTTGTGACCATGAGATCTCTAGGCTCCCTGCTAAAACCTTCTCCTGATGAAGCGAGCGAATGGCTTGCTGAAGGATGATGCCTAACGGACAAGGCTTCACCTCTCTTGCTAAAATCTCCACGTAAACTAATGTAACAGTTAATTACAAATACAACCTGCTAAATTACAATTCTTGCCCGTGTAACGCGAGGCATATCACCTCTCAACCCAATTTGAAATTTCGTTAGATTACAAGAAGAAGCGAACAGTTTAGGTTGTTATTGCCGCTTCATCAATGTTAAGTTCTTGATCATGTTCAAAAGAGCTGGAGTTCCCTTGACCACAATCTCGGCCTTTGCAGTGTTGGTCGCATGCGTGAAGAGCGAAAATCCAAACCCAATAAGCTGCACAGCAACAAACCTTACGATTAGTTTGATAAGGACATGACACATGCCATGCTCTAGTCACATCACAAGAGGCGCGTAGTACTTTCGCAATCAATCTGAGCAAAAATTCGCCAGACTTTGGGGACTAGGGAGACGAAATGTGGGGTTGAAATTTTACCTCCCAGAAGTACAATCTAGAAGACAAGAACCCTTGCCAATGATGCTCGTCAAGGTCGAAAAATGCATCAAAGAATCGCCTCGTTCCAACAAGGTCAAGCTGTCAAAAGAGAAACGTTTGAGCCAGTATACATTAGAAGGATGCTGCGAGAAGTGCACGGGGATTAGGCACGACCTACCGTCGACGCTTTTCAAGGGACACATGTACATGAAAGAATCTTCTAAAAGAAACTGTGCAATATACTTAAAAAACAGAAACGATTCCTCACGAACTCACCTTTAGGAGTACGTCCATTCCAAAACAGAAAAACTCCCTTTGCTGTTGTCGTTCCATAGGCCATAAGTCAGCCCATACTCCTGCTGCTACTTCATCTCCAAAGGGTCCTTTCCGGGGTTCTGGAGGAGTCGGAATGTCCTCATCCTGACTAGAAGATGGCTCTGCTTCCTTCCCCAGGACAGTGTTGGAAGATATGTGGGGATGGCTTGCGCCACCAAGCCTTTTCACCAAAGAGTCCGCAACGATCGGTGCGGCAGCCAGAGTTCGCGCCACCATGTAACCTAGATGTCAATTAAACATTCGTTAAAAACGGGAACCACGGGTTTGTACAGAGAGAATATACACGCACTGCGGTTGTGAAATCCACCTCTGTGCCAGGCCTCTACAGATTCAAAATAGTAATGCTTATCATTCAAACATGCTTACCATACTCATCACGCTTTTGACAAGCGCGTAGACGAACGAGTTAAGATTTGTACTTACCAGTTGAAGGATGAACCATCCCTGCCGTTCCTCCGATCCCCAAGACCCTTTGAGGAATCACAGGGAGCACTCCTCCCATTGGGATGACACACACTCTGCGAGATAAAGAGCCCGTCAATCGAGGAGAGATTTCAGTAGGTTTGTAAAGGCATCCACACCTTAGATGTTAGTACATCTAAGGTCTGACGTGTCATGCTTTGCTCCTGGTCATCTCTCTTTATGGAAGTTGATGAGCTTCCAAAAATACTCAAGGAATCAAAAGGAGCAATGAAGATGAAAGCTAACAAAATATGTCCGAATAAAACCTGTGCTTCACAACATGGACCGACGATTAGAGTTAAGAATACGCACTCGTCCTCTTCAATGCTCTTCACATTGATACCCAGATGTTTCAACCGTGCCTCCATCCGTTGCTGGATCACCTCCAGGGGCACTCCGGGCCTTGCAACGAGAGATGTTTCCTCTGAAGATTACATGACCACGACAGATTCATGACTTCAAACATGCACGAGCTGTACACTGCATACATTCCTAGTTTCCCCAAGGCTCGTAAACGTAACCAGCCGATTGCTTCAAAAGAAATATGTAACATACAAAATGAATCCTTCTTGCTCGACAAAATTGCCCCAACAAAAGCAGCACTCGATACTGTCTGCATACCATCCTCTTAGACACTCCCATTGACCGCCATAGAAGGAAAAAAAAAAGTTATTACACATTCATCCAAGATAATTCTATGATAGTATGGAGCCCTACTTCTCGGTTTCTCCCCTTCGAGCACGAGACTATTCGGAGAGGTGAAAACGCCACCCATCTCTTTTACAAGGCCGAAATAAAAAAATAGAATTCAAACGGATTAGAAGCCACAGGAGTGACTGTGGGTACAGCTGAATACTAGTAGATATATCTTCCCTACCAAATACTCTCAGAACGAAAATTACCCAAAAATATTTTCGTCGGAGAAAATGGCATGGCATACAAGAAAGTTGGCAGCTTCTTGTTGCTTTCTTTGAGTTCAGGATATTTGTTCAAATGGGAGTCCCTCCAGTCCATGAACAGCATTTTGTCAAGGTCAAAAGGATGGCAGTCAACCTGAATATGACAGGGAAACAAATATCCATGAGAAAAAACAAACATACGTCAAACAACCGCCCACCAATTCCCGAAAACCGCCCATGGACCTGGGCTTTTGTATCGGGGCTAGGACTAACAGTATCAAAAGGATAAGGCCTAGTGCTAACAGACAAACCGTGGTAGGAGGCTTCCACTCGAATCTCGGTGGACTCCCCCGAAGAAGCTCTAATAAGATCCCGATCAGACGAGTCCCATGATGGCAAATCGGAAACTAACAGGTAATGTTCTTCCACGGGTTCTTTTAGAAGCAGAGTAGTTTCCATTATTATGATACGGAAGACAAACCATGGCCTCATGAGAGAAGGTTAAACTCACCTCGGCAACTATACCGTATGCAATTTGATAGCCTGGATTGAAAGGCTTGTCATACTGCACAAGACGTCTGGAGTGCCCTGTGGCATCCAAAACAACTGCAGTCTCAATCACGAATCCATCATCGCAGACCACAAAAGATCGGTCCTTGCTGTGGGTAACGTGTTTCACCTGCACGAATTTTCGAGAAAGAAGGTTAATTTCCACAAGGAGGTCAGCTATATCGTTACTGCTCATAAGTTCCGTGACAAACACTTTCTGTCCAACTTCCCGACTGCTAGATCAACTACTTGTGAAGTCACTCATGATTCACAAGAGAACTTAAGACCAGTTGGCGGAACAAGCATTCGATCTCCTCCGCCCGATAACACCAATTGTTCAGTCTCGGTTTGCCAAGTCTCATATGTTGTAAAAGCACTGGGACACAATACCCCACTTGAGGATAACTCTTTCTCTGGCCGAGTTGGGAAGGTATCATGTGTGAACATAGCAAATTGCAACTGCTCAGACAGAGGACCCTCGGAAGCCATTCCTCCCTTCATCAGTTATGCATAAAGTCGACGATGTTTCCGTTCTTAGCACATTATTAGACTCGGCTACTGAGGTACATGCAAGGGAGGTAGTCATAATTTAAGAGATGTTTGTAAGAGGAGGTGAAGGGGAAATCACACCTTCTTCCTACAACAGTCCTAATTGTCAGTAACTCGGCTGAAGTAAATAAAATTCTGTAGTTACGAAGTTGTGTGTAGCTCAGTCCCTCGCCATCGGCTCGGATCAAAAAACAGACTACCTGAGATATCCTCTTAAGAAAGGTGTGGGAGCTGAGGAGGAAAATCAGTATTGTCTGAATTTGATACAGAGATGGATTCAACGAACAACGGTTTCACGGTGATAACTTTGCTCCCTTCTTGATTCACCACGCCGAAGTTTTCTACATCAAGGTCCCATTGGGACGCCTATTAACACTCACCAAACGAGAATGCAGGTATTACAGAGGTGGATGAAATTCTAAAGGAAATCCGTTCAGAATATCATCCGATTCAGCTTGAATGATTACCTTCGACTGGTAAAACTGCACCCCATTCGTTATGCACTGCTCAATCATCTTCGACTTCAACCTGGTTCGATTCACTCTTCCGTAAGGACGTTGCAGTAACTTCTTTACGTCATCATCCAAGTAAACCACGGCGCTTCCCCACGTGTAGTCGAGACAGTCCAGCAGGTCCATTGCCTCGAATTCGTCCACCCAAACTCCATAATTGTTGGGCCACACACTCCTCGGCTCCGGGTCGATGCAGCAAACGCTCAGTCCTTGACCTGACACTCTCTGGGCTACGGCTAAACCTGCAGGACCTCCCCCGACGACCACGAGATCCACAGCCTTACTCTTCCTCGGATCAAAAATTGGAATCTCATAGTTCAGTTTCTTCAGCTCGACTTTGGGCTTCATCTCGAGCAGAGTACCACCTGCGGCCCTCACAGAGCAAACTCTCGTCTCCGCCATGTGCAGACGCCGAGCCGCCAGTCCGGGAGACAGCAAACTCCCATTCCCATTCACTTCCCCACATCGAGAGCTCAATTCGTCCCCTCGCGTCGGCGCAATCGGACAGAAGCCGGAACGCAACAGGTGCTTCGGCGAGCCGCTCCTCACTTTCACCGCCCCTGCTCTCAACCCATACCTCGTCGAGCTCATCGACACCGTGCACGACGCCATATCTGCGACCTTCGCCCCCACCAGCACCCGACGATACCGCAACCCCTCGGCCTCGACCTCCACCAGCTCGTAAGCACACGAGTGCTTACATACCCACACTCATCCAACGCACTTTCATTTCAAGCATACGGCTATGTCCGTCTCCCCGCCTCGCCGCGCGGAATCCGGCTATGCCGGCGACTGCAGAAAAAAGATCCACCTACAGCTTCAGCTTCAGCTACAGCGGACGATGGCAAGTGCACACTGAGCAAGGCAGGCGCCTCGGGCATCTGCTGCTCGGGGACGGACGAGCGTCGCAAATCATCCGTTCTCGCATCTGGAAACCATGTGCATTTGTGCCTCCTTCCTCCCTTCCTTCCTTCCTTCAAGAATCTGACATGGACGCAGCAGCAGCACCACCACCACGACGAAGAAACAAGAAAGAGCAGATGAATAAGAAGAAGAAGAAGAAGATCGTGCTTCGTCCTGAACGCGCAGGAATCTCGTCCGCTGCCGATTCCTTACCAGATTCTGTGACAACGTCTGGCGCGGGGACTCACCGAGAGAAAGAAAGAGAGAGAGGCGCGAGGAGGGCGCGGGCGGTGCTCGTGCTGGATCCGGCAGGTGCGCCTTCCACGTCGTCGCCTTCCTTCGCAGGCCAGACAGACGACAACACACGATCCCATCCTAGGCTCCGGCCTCTAACCAACCCTAGAGGGTTATCCCAACCCACTGCTGCTGCTGCTCCCGTCCATTGGGGGCCATGGTATGTTTCTCTCTTCTTCTCTTCCTTTGTCGTCCCGCCGGAAGTTGCCATCTCCTCGTCGTCGGCCGATCGTCGCTGCTGGCTCCTCGGAACTTGGATTCGTCCGCATCGGGGGCAGGTCGGATTCTGCGATGCCGATCTTTCTCTCGCGATTCTCCGCCAGTACTGTACGTTCATGGTGCGTACGTTCCCAGCAGTGGTAATCGGAAACTCTACGAGTGGCGGCGTGTGGGATCGAAGAACCGGGTCCCGGATTGCACGCATGACCGTGAAGTGGATAAGTAATTTAAATAATCTAAGCTGGCGAATGGACTTTTCTGTTCACTGTTAATTTTGGTGCACTTGTATCTTGAGATTGGGTTCCGGTCACACCTGCAAACGTGGTCCAAGTTCGGTTTCGCTGAATCTCTTACTGTGCCTGAGTTGTGTTTCAATCAGTATCTAGCAGAGCCAAATGCGGCATAAATCATAAATACAATTTGGTGATAAATATTATGCATGTTATCCAAAACTGTAGAATGGAGATTTTACTAAAATTCATGATCATTTTGTATGAAAACAACGTACAGTTCTGTACTTAGTGTGGTGTACAATTTGAAGGTTCCAACTTACTTAAAACAATCATCCAACATATCAGGTTTTAAGATATGATCTTCAGCATCTGGCCATAAGAAATGGCATAAGACTTTACTAAAACAATGAATGGTAAGATTTTAATTACGTTCACTAATCAAGAAAGTTGAATCTCAGAAATATGTCATAGAATAGTTACGTTCTTGATCTTTTATCATCATTCATGAAATTCATCTAATATTGCGAAGAATTTTCTTTACTAAATTTTTTTTAACTCATGGAACAATCCATAGTATGAAAAATTCTAAGCTCTAACAAGTATCTGAATAAATCTTGATATATTTTTCATTTTTTATAAAAAAAAAATATTTTCGCAAATATTATTGTGAAATTAATTAAAAATGTTATTATTGAAATTATTTAATAATTTTCATGTTTATTAAATCAATTATTTTTATTGAATTAAAATAAATTTAATCATATGGCAGTTTGAATGATGAAAATTTAGAGAATGCAATAGAAATCTATGCATCTTTAAAAATCTATGAAAAAAAATCTTTAAAAATCAAGATGCATCTCACAAACACTGTATTATGTTATTGAATATATCTAAAACTATGAACAAAAACTCAACAACTTTTATTTTGATTTTGTAATAATTAAAAAATATCATGATCATGTGTGCGTCTTACTATAAGTACAAGGAGTAAGTATTTTTTTTAATTTTTAAATAAAACTTAAAAAAATTCATCTATACATAATAATAAGAAAATAATTTCCGACATAAAATGACATAAATTATATCAAATCTCCTTATCATTATACATCTTCGTCAATTTTTTTAATCAACTGCATCATAATAAAAAATTTATACAGATATAGTGTCAAAAACACTATTTTTAGGGAACATTAAACTTATTGTAAAATACTACTAGTTTGATGTTTTAATCATCTTGGTCAATCGATCAATGATTTCACATAATTTGTCAATTATGTAAAATTGAAATTCATTTTTCCTGAATGTAATGTTTAAGTTATAAATGTAATTGTTGAATTTGATCACTTAAAATGTTGATACTAAATGTACATTGACAAGGAATGGGAAATCTTGGTCTCGGCTTGGGGTTCGAGGGCCCTATCACCAGCCAGGATTGGATCGGATCAGCCCGACAAGGAGGCCGATCTATTCAACATCATGGGGAGGGAAGACCTTAGCAAACTGATTAGTCTGAGTGAGCAATACCACAGCGCGCTCGAGGAACTCCTGTCAAATATATAATAACTTTAAGTTTGACTCTTCCAACTTCAAATAAAACTCAAAAGATATTCTTTGTACAGAAATTGAAGTATAAATGAGCATAAACCAAAGGTAATTCTCGAAGTATGAAAAAATTGTTCATCTCTTGACTCATGACAAAACGTACACATGATCAAACAGACACACTTCAATAACGCTCTTTGAAACAGTTGAAGAAGGATAAATGAGCAAATATTCAACGTATGAGTTAAGAAATGAACAAATTGCAAAGAACAAAACATGGAAAAATCTCATCGACATTTATTAAACATACCCACTCCAAAAGATGGATTTATTAAAAAGTCTTCAAAAACACTCTTTTCAACAATAGAAGAAGAATGATGAGCATGTTTCAAACATACTCGGCAAGAGATGAATTAATTGCACACCAGAAATTCCAAGGAATCGATGGAGTTTTACTCAACCTATACTCCAAGAGATGGAAAAGATCTTGATAGAAAATTTGGGGCTTAACCTTACACAAGTTAGATTCTGCTCACTCTAGTCTACCACTAACCATAATCTAGGGAAGTTTTTTTAATATTATAATCTTTAGAATTATAGGGAGGTTATAACTATTCAGCACATGCTGCTGTTAAAAAGTCTTATATGCGATCATTAGCCACTTTTCCTCCGATACTTCCTCACGTGCGATACCGAGAGATGTATATCTTACGTACCCTACGTTTAGATATTCCTGCACTCTTGGCTTCGTCGATCTCCTAGCTCAATCTCCAACTTTTTCAATTGTGTGATAACTCCATAATACATGGGGTTCCAACCATAGAGCATGTGCTATCTAGAAAGATCTTATATTTTTTCGAAGCCACTTTTCCATTAGAGAATTCCTGATCTAGATCTCTTTTGGCCTAGGTCTCGAGATCTTGCAGTCTTGGGTTTGTCCATCAACAACATCAACGATGGTGATCTCCACAGAGAAAACGAGAAACTTCTTATTTATTTTTTATTAGTAATCTCTAGTCGACATCTTTATACAAATTAGAGATGAATTTTTTTGGGGTCAAGTGGCCACATGATAATTGAAATAGAACAAGTGAGTATAAAATTGAGTCCATACGTGCACATTATGTATTCACTTCACCTCAACCTTTTCCAGAGTAGATAACGATATATTTGAGAAATATAAAGAAGGTTGAATAAAAAAAATAAAATATGGCTCAGCAAAGTAGCGATTGGATCGACAAAAGTGGAAATGCTTGAAGACTGCCTCCTCAGCTGCATCTTCCGTGCACCTGGGGCGTGCAACCACTTGGAGAACGGCAGTTACGTTTAGAGAGTGTTCTCTAAATTACTGTCAAATCTGCACAGAAATCTTCTCTACCTGCTGATGAACAATTCCCCGTGCACAGTCCACGTGAAGGGGGCAGGTTCTGGAAGAACCTTTCAAAGTCTTTGGTTCCAAGAGCTGGAAATTCTCCAATGGGAGAGCAACGAGTTCAGTGGTGCTTCTTACTAATTGGATGGCGAAGGATCCGCGTGATACAGCTCAAAGCCCAACACGTGGGAGGCAGAATTCCTATGTTACGAAAACTGTGTAATATTCTACATCTCGATCACAGTCAACGCCACGTGCCAGACTCGTGACATTTAAAACGAGTTGGCCGATCGAACGTGGTGTGCGAACACCGAGATGATTCCCACGAGCAGATTTTGTTAGTTTACTCAGCTGAGTGCATTCCGTACATCGATCTTTAGCAGCCAATTGTCTGCAAATCCTCGGTCGAGATCTACACTCTAGTCGAGCGTTGAGTCATGCGGAAAAACGTCGGTCCTTTACTCCGCTGCTCGAGACTCACTTTCGAGGATATCAAAGTTTGACGCCCACATCACTTACTTCAAAGTGGAGTATACAAAAAGATCTCTCTCGAAGCTCGTGTTCGATTCTTTGATTGTACATCTTCCCAGAGATTCTTCCATCTTTTTCTTCCCCGTGACAAATTTTCATGTAAGTCTTCTTTCGACATATTCGGTTGACTACTGAAGACAAACCAGTCTACGTTTGTAAAGCCTCTGGAATTCATCTGTAAAAAAGTTATGAAATGACGAAAAGCCATTGGCGGAGTAAAGTCGCTCAAAGACTCCTGTTTGTAAGGCTCAGACTGACATATCCTTCGGAATTCGTCTCCGGTTGAACGAGCATCCAGTGATACCAGTCGTGACAATGGATACATTCCAGACACAGGAACCACCAAGGTCCATCTTCTCTTCGAAGATACACTTCTCCCTGAAAATCTGGCCCTCAGCAAACCTTGCCGATTTTCTAAATATTCACACATTGTCTCGCAGTGATCTGTCGTCAATGAATACTACCACTGTTGCAGATAACGAAGGAAGAAGCAGACATGTGCTTTCACATACAAAATGCAACTCGATTGTGTTTTGTATTAGCTGAATATTCCAATTTCCATTCTCTTCCGCTTCAAGAACTGAAGCGAGATGTCAATGACATCTGTTTTCATATTTGTACCACATGTCGTGACGTCCAGACTCAACTCATTCATCCGATTAACACAGCGAGGTTACACCGCTGCGCATAAAATCAAATAATCGCATTTTGCACTTATTTTCGATATACAAGAATATCAGGGGCATACCCCTTTCTGTGAAACTCCCCATTTCGGCAGCAGCTTCTATCAGCTGGCGTTGATCGTGGACGTGTGTGTCAAACACGAGCATGAAATGACATATACAGCAGCTCCAAGTTGTGTAAGGAAACAGCAAAGGGTCCTTGCTATCTTGCCCACGACGAACAGGGTTGAAGTGCGTTTAGTGCCCACACTTTTTTGATAATGGTCATGCTTCTCGAAAGCCAGCATAATAGTTGTACATCTAAAAATTAAGAAAATTACCTTCAGGATGAAAGAATTGGATGGTAATTTTCAAATACTGACTGTCAATAAAGGGGTGATTGCCTTATAAACTTGAGTCATTGATAGGCTACATCGACTCCTTTCTCCTTCAAGAATGCTTTTGCTTCATCTATGTCCTGTAGGATAAAAGGAGAAACAATCCAGTCAAAGGCACATTCATCAACACGAAAGACACGAAGAATTTGTTATGCGCCAGATAGACATAAGCACTTGTATCGAGTTAGAAACAACTAGAAGGAAATCCTAAGACATAGCAAATCCAAACATAGGAGATGGAGCAAGTTGACATGTGGAGTGCTCAAACAGCGTAAAAGGCTTTCAGCGATCAAGACTCTACTCGAATGTCACATTAGGAAGATGGATCAAATTTAAAATCGTCCAGTAGCTATCAAAGACCATATATGATATTGCAAATATGGAGATGACGGGCTGGAGGTGAAGCAGAAACCTCAACCTTGACCCTGGGCCCATTTCAGAGCAAAAAAGACCAACCCTAAAGACCAGCGGAGCAGAGATAGAAAACATTCTTTAGATTTCAAAAACCACATCCGGCCAGTTACGTCCGGTATTAGCACATTATAAAATGAACGAGCGTTGCTCGGTCATATACTTGTTTGGATAAATTCGATGAAACATAAGATACAATCTTCTCTATCTGAGAATATCGGATCCGCAGTGAACCTCATCAGTAAGAGAAGACTTACAAGTTTGAATCGAGGTTTCCTGTGATACAGGTGTAATCCCAGTGGAAGTTTAACCACAAATTGCTCACATTTAAAGGTCTCATGGCTGCTTTCCATGAGAACTGATAAGTTTTGACGCTCAGTGAGAATTTGTGGTGATTTTGAGGCCAAGTTAAGGAATCGAGACGTGCATATGAGAGACATGTGTTAAATTGTAGAGAGTGCTTCGACCTATTTATGATTCCATGTCCAACGTCAACGAAGTCTGCTCTTACCTTCTGAAGTAGAATAGATTCATGAGGACAAGTTGGAAAGACCATGAGGCCGTATCCAACCATACCTAGTCCGTAACACCCGAGAGCAACCAACGCATATACAGGTAACTGCGAAACGTGAACCAGTCAACGCTATAAATCAATTACAGTTCATACAATCTGCACAATTGGAGAAAGCATATGAATCGATCGTTTCAGCTCACATTTTTTAAGCTGATGATCGCAGTGCGGACTTCAAGCAGATTTCCTTCGTTCGTTCAAGGAAAATTCTATGAGCTCAGATTAAACATTCATATAAATTACAACTGGAAATTCAAAGCGAGAAGGTCCGTCCACAAGAAGCATACTGGACGCGAAGAATACTCACGAATGGAAGAATGAGGCTGAACGATTGAGGAAGGTCAGGAGACAGAAGCAGACCGATCCACAACGCCACAAGAGTTCCGACCACAGCACCAAACTTAAAAACCTGCTTCATCGCAAATTGCCCCAAAAGTCGCTCGATCTCGAATATTATCGAAGATTTACAGCATGTTTTGTCCACTTGTTGCTTCCACCATTCACCATATCTGTACTCACACAGTGGGAAATTTCCTCTTTTTCTCAACCCTCTCTTTGCATGTCTAATATCAAAGGTCTGTGGAAGTCCGTAGTGAAAATTGTTTGTTGAAATCGGGGATACGCGATATCGCGGGGCAAATCATGGGAGTTTCAGCGTGTTCCGGACGTAAATCCGATGGAGACAATACGACCTTCAATTGTTCTGGCAATTGCTCGTCCAACCCTAAATCGCGTATCCCTCACCAATCAGTCGTTTAACAATGATTAAATAAAGTTTTGCGGTTTTCAATCAGTTCTAACATGTATAATTAGCATACAAATAATTATGCATTTATTAATTATTCTACCATATATATTACTTATATGCAATAAATTGTATATTTTAAAAATATCAACTCTAACATTTCCATTATCGAAATGAATAAAATTTTTCAACATATCCTTTAATAATAATTTGCTGAAATATTTTGAGTTTGACATTATGCAGATGGAAGATTATGTTACATTAATATCTAGAGAAGAATAGAATTGCATGAAAATATGTGAATTTAACATAAACATGTATGTAATTAAAAAGAGTAATGAAGTGCGGCACTAGCAAAAGCCATGTTCATATGTGCATCAGAGTTTACTATTCGATATTTTTTTTTATAAAAAATTAGAAAATAACATTTGATGGTTCTTGAATTGAATATAATTTTGATTAATTTTAAATAAAGAGCCAGTGTAAAAGTCAGAACGGGTGCCATTAGAAAAATAAAAATTTTCACGCTACTAGGCAAAATTGGCTCTTTTATCATGAGCTTCAACCATCTGCTAAAGGTTGTAACAATCCTAAAATATATCAATGAAGAAAATAACCATCTTTACTAGCACAACAATATGTTATCTTTCTCAATAAATATAAATATCACTTTTTGAGTGTTATTTAATTTCATATATGTATAAATTTGAAATATACATTGATTCAATCTAGTAAAATATACAAAATATGAATTTTTTTTTTGTTGGAATTATGTACTATTGATATGAAGATTTTTTCCAAACATATTTATAAAATTAGAAGAATTCATTTTAAAATATAATGTATTTAAAAATGAGGATCCAAAATAACTTTGAATACATTGTTATGATTCAATAATCAATATTGACTACCCATTTATGTTCATTTATGTACAAGCCCATTTGATAAGATTTTGTATATTATAAATGAGATATTAAAATAATAGATTTATTCCATGTTTTTCAAAAATATGTTGATTTTAAATTTGATTGCAATATAAAAATTTTGCAGCTTATCAAAGTTAAATAGTTCAATATGATTGTAAAACGAGCTATTCACAATCATGTAATGATGATATATTACTTATGAAAAAAAAACTAAAAAATTTTAATACACTTGTTATTTTATTTTTAATTCTACTTTATTTTATTATAAATTGGTTTAAAATACACAATTCAACATGATTTATAATTTTGGTGTAAAATCTGATGTTAGAATATCATTATAGGGCCAATAAAGAATTTGAATAGAATTAATTGAATCATGACTAAGCATTGCTAATATATATTTGGTGTATTATATTAAAAAAATCAAATTTGGTGAACAAGCACAAAATTATTATTTTTTGGATATGAATCATTTATTAGATTTTATGTTATGAAGATACTAGACTACACATAAATGTACACAATCTTTTGTTTGTCAAAACTAAATCATACTTTATTTTAGGATAAAATTACTTTATTCAATGTAAAAGCATGAAAATTTTTTATATTAAGTTAACAACATGCTTTGCTGTCTTATACAAATTTAAATTCAAACGTAAAAAAAAATTAAATCTTTAAAGATTTTTAAACTTCAAATCACACATACATTTCAAAATAATACTATTACAATAATTGCAGAAAGTTAGATTATAAACAAAACACAAATATAATGATGTGAAACAATTTTTGAATCATTACTTAATTGTTTGAGTGATAAATTTTTAATCAAAATTGTGGAATCGATCTTAAAAATATAACTCTAAATTATTGATGGAGTTCTACATTCACATATATAATTAGCTTGGTTGCTAAAAGTTTATCTTCACAAGAAAAAAAAAGAACAACACCTCCAATCTTTAATGATTTAAAGTGACAAATATTGCACCTATAGATTTGCGATATGAGTTGAAATAAGTTACTTAGTCTCTAATTTACATCAAAATTGATATATCATGAAAATTATAAGTACAAGTGTCTGTGTTAAAATCATTTTAAGCTATGGATATAATTATTCTCTTGACTTTGTATATGAATGATGGGTAAAAAATTATGTGATAAGGTGTTTGATTATGAACAATCAATAAAACTATCAACATTTTAGATTCATAATGAAGATATTAAAAACCAATTTGATATAAATCTAAGTAAACATATGATAAAGGGCCACGCTAGGGCCACACCTAGTTTGCTACGGCCACACCCGCCCGTGTAAGTTGCCTGGATCAAAGCCCCCGAAGGGGGTTGAAGTGGCATGGCAATCAAAATAGATCAATAGAACGGCAGCACCGGTGGCAGCGGTACAAGCAGCAGCAACGCGGGAGACAGCGACGGCCGCAGCGGCTCCGCGCCCCTCGAAGCCTCTCGACTACACTCTCCTCTGCCTCGCGGATGAGCTCGGCTTAGCAGCTAGGTTTGAGAGGAGGCGTGCTTTGACGCGCAATCAGTTGTTTGTATGTAGCGGGTGTGGTCGTAGCAAAAACGGATATGGCCCTAGTCTGCCCCTATGATAAATATAGTTTACTTATATTGCTCACTATATGATCGGACAAGCAACCTCACCACATCCTCCCAGCTGCGGTGACTGATGATCCACTCTCCAAGCCAGGGAGCGAGACACACAGGGCTTGGGCAGGAAGTGACATCCTCCGGCCTCGCGCGGGATCCCATTCGTCGTGGTGCAGCATCGACGGATTCAGAATCGGAGGAAGATGAATCAGAATCAGACATCCCACCTGTGGGCTTGCCGGCCCAATCTGCTACACGGCGAGGGCAAGTAATCGGCAAATACTCTTGCTGAAGAATAGGAGGAACAGAAAAAGAAAAGAGCACTGGCATTGCGACGGAGGGGGGCGAAGATCAAATTTAAAGCAGTTGCGGAAGAACCTCGATGCAACGATTCAACTCGATGTACGATCGAGACACAACTGTTCCCGAGTGAGGAATTTGAATCCCCCACCTCCCCCATCGACGAAACCAGGAAGTAGCAATTGAATCCGCCCGACATTCCCCTGACTACTAATCAAGAGAACCCGGCCCCTGGCACTAACAGAAGTACTTATCAGGACTTCGACATTCGAATCCTACACCACGAATTCTGCTCCACCGACAGATTCCCTGAACAAATTAATCGCAGCCGTTGGCCGCGACACGGTGTGCTTCCACATCGGATCAGGGTCAACCCGCCTCGGAGGTCGACCTACCATTTGGGAGCCCCCCCTCCCCCCGCGCTTCCGCAGTCACTCCCCCACCACTAAGGGACGGACATGTGGCCCCGTAGGTAATTTACTCTACGGGCCATGCTCACTAAAGGGAGTGCATGCACACATTCAAAGCGCAGACATCGGATAACGACCTCTAGAGTTTGTAGACTCACGCATGGCGAGTCGTAGACAGGCATATCCACTCCTGACATAATGTTAGAAGGTCAACACCGAGGACCGGCGGTCCCTCACCCAAATACATGGCGTTGAATTATTACGACCGAATGGCCGCTGATAAGGAGAACCGCGACAGGTGACAGGCGACGGCAGGCCTTAATCAGGCACGATGGGAAGGATACACCGACCCGTTCGACGGGGACCGACCAGACAACTGCATCAAAATCGGAAGATCCCGCCTCATTTCCGGCATATTTTCAAAATATTCCTTGGGAACATTCGGGGAATATTCCAGGCCTTGGAATTTGGGAAACAGGGGGAAACACTCATGCACGCGAACTCGTCTTGAGGCTCTACGACTAGGCAGCACAGTCTCTGCAGACAACATTGGTTGATCACAATCGGGGACTCCTCCCCCTCTACGCAGAAGACACAAGGCGTGTGGTACCCCACTTTTGGTAATTTTGAGGAAATTAAAACATTTTTGAAAAACTGTACCACGGCAGCAATGTAAATAGCCTTCGGTGCATCAAAACAGAGTGAATTCGGAAGATCGCAGAGATTCTCGAGGGACCTCGTAGAATCTAGGAGTTGGGTGCAGCGGTAAGGAAGAGCGCCATCCTCCCTGCGAGCTATGCAGTTAGGATCCCTACGGCGCAAGGCGCAAAATCCGCCTTCGGCGCTGCGTCCGCGGCGGTAGGGAAATCCTTCATATTTAGGTCAACCCCCAAACGTCTTGACTTAGTTAGGGTCTCGTTGGAAAGAGCTCGACGCGCTGATTCCAACGAGCCCAAGAACGCCAACAACGGATGAGGACTCCGGGAGTTATGAAGGTTGTAAGATACTCAGCTCTTCGCCTGTGCACAGGCGGAGAAGTTTTGTCCTATGCGCGGACGAAAGAAGTTCGCCTGCGCACAGGCGAAATAGGGTTTTGATGTAGGCGCGAAGTTCGCCTACGCACAAGCGTGCGCCTGTGCACAGGCGTTTCGGCGTCCGCGGAAAATCCGCCTTGGGCCCTAGAAATGCGCCTTGGGAGGTAGAAATTGTACGGCGCCTTCTGCGCCAGCGCAACGCCGCGGACGAGCAAGGAGCCGCCATAATAGTAAAATCTGTACGGACCGTACGGACGGGACGGATGGATGCGCTCTTGGACGGACGGAGTTGCGGCGGCGAGAGCGCCGACCGAGAGACAAGGAACGGACAGTCTGGACGGAGTCGGTTGACCGCGGTCAACGCCTTCCGCGCCAGCGCATCGACGCGGACGGACTTCGCCTGCGCACAGGAGGGTGAAGTTCCGCGCCGGCGGAGAATCCGCCGAGGAGTCCGCCTGCGCACAGGCGGGAGTTGAACTTTTGTCCGACGTGCGACAAGCGCCGAGGCAGAGGAGGATTGGATGAGGAGGATTGGCTGAGGAGCGGTGCGAACGAGTGTACCGCGCAAGGCGGAAAATCCGCCTTCGGCGCTGCGCACCCGTGTCCGCGGCGTAGTACGCTCGCGGAGTTCAAATTCGCCAATTCGAGCGTGAGAGTTAAATCGGCGTCGG